TTTCTAAACTCAACCAACCTGTAACAAACCTGCCCAACACATCCTATAACTCAATTACGAAGTAAAAAAAGATGTAAACAAGATAATAATCAACTACCAACATCCACGGACACATGTCCGGGTCACTGTACAACAAGGGTAAACCCGGGATTGCTATAATTCGGGTTACAGCTGCAGACCTAGGTACCTTTCTTGTGATTTGTGTTCAATAATTCATTAGGCTGCATAAGTTTGGCCAAACACAAACTACACAGATTTTTTGTTTTTTTGTTTTGTTTTTTATTTTTAATTATAATTTTCACTGGATGGTGTTTGTAGTGTCTAGATCAGATTCCAAGGAGAAGAAGAAGAGGCCCATGTTGGTGATTATCACCGTCTCAGTAGCTTTGTTGTTGTTCCTCCTTGCTTCTTGTATAATATGGAAGAGGATAAAACAAACAAGAGGTAAATCTGAGGTTCCTTAATTTGGTTGAAAGTTAACTTTATGCGGAATATATATTAACTAAAGATTTCTAAGTCAATGTTAATCAAATGGATGTTAACTAAAGATTTCTTCCATGCTTTAAATACCAAATTCCCCTGTAAAACTTATGCATCCAGGTATTGTCGAATTCAATGTCATTGTGGACACAAATATAACCAAGTTTCAATTTTGTTTGCTTCCTAATCTTCTCATCTGTTGTGATCGACAGGTTCATGGCCAAACATTCCATTCAAAGATGATGAAAACATAGACTTACCCATTTTCAATATAGTCACAATTGCAAATGCTACAAACAATTTTTCTATTTCTAATAAGATTGGAGAAGGTGGGTTCGGACCAGTGTACAAGGTAATTTGAATTGCATTTACTAAAGTCATATAATTTTTTGTGTTATGGGTTTGTGAGTGTGCGTCAAAAGAGTGAGGGTTGAAAAAAATCTTGTTTTTCTTGTTTGTTTCATTGCACTTCTATGTAGTGTTGATTTGCCTTAGGTGGCCCCATATCTGTCTAGGTGGCTTTCACCTTAGATGTTTTGTTTGGCAAATGCCCGTGTATGATGTTTTTATCTTCAATCTTTATTTACTTTCTTACTTCCCAAAAACAAAACACAAAAAAAAAAGCTTGTGTATTTTCATAGGGTCAGCTATCAACTGGACAAGCGATAGCAGTAAAGAGGCTCTCGGAGAATTCTAAACAAGGGGTTGGTGAATTTAAAAATGAGGTTCAATGGCAGCTTGAGCTCCTTTAGGCTTTTGCGATGTTGCATTCAAGGAGAAGAGAGGATGTTGATCTATGAATATTTACCCAATGGCAGCTTGAGCTCCTTTATTTTTGGTTTAATCTTTCGACCTTTCTTCTAACTTTTTCAATTGAATGTCGAAAACAAACTACACACTACTCGAAGTTGTATATCATTATGTCAATTATTGAACCCAAAACTAATATTCTATACAAATGCCTCTCTTGATCTATGTCATAGATACTACAAAAAGTAACTCTCTTGAATGGAGGAAACGCTTTGATATTATTGTGGGAATTGCTCGAGGGCTTCTCTACCTTCATCGAGATTCAAGACTGAGAATTATTCACAGGGATCTCAAAGCCAGCAATGTGCTACTGGACAATGAGATGAATCCCAAAATTTCAGACTTTGGCATTGCTAGAGCTTTTCGAGGAGATCAAATATCCGAGAAAACAAGAAGGGTGATTGGAACTTAGTAAGTGCCCAAAAGATTTCTTCCATATACTTACCGAACTTCAAGTTTCACCGACTTCTTTCTTGATTTATTAATTTGATTATGGCGTGCAGTGGTTATATGTCCCCAGAGTATATATTACGCGGGCTCTTTTCAATGAAATCAGATGTCTTTAGTTTCGGAGTACTTGTTTTAGAAATAGTGAGTGGACAAAGGAACAGAAAATTCCGACATCCTAACCATACTCACAACCTTCTTGGACACGTAAGTTTTTACTTGAGTTTGATCTCTTCATTTTTGGAATTTTCTTCCATATTGATCTCTAATATAAATGTGCTCTCTTAGGCATGGAAACTATGGATTGAAGGGAATGCCATCAAGCTGGTTGATGAAAAGTTGGAAACTTCAACAATGTTGATGTCAGAAGTAATAAAATGTATACAAATTGGTCTGTTGTGTGTGCAACAACGCCCTGAAGACAGGCCAACAATGTCATCTGTGGTGTTGATGTTGGATAATGAGGGTGCAATGCTGCCCCGTCCTAAACAACCCGGATTCTATACAGAAGGGAGCAGTGATGAGATAGAACTTGCGTCGACTACGGGAATAAAATGTTCCTCAAATATGACAACTCTAACAATTCTACTAGGCCGATAAGAAATTCCAATTGAAGCACTAATGCTCATGGTTAATAATATTATTTTTTTTCCAAGAAGAGAGTTAATACCATATTTGATAACAGCTTTACTAATTATGGATGACAGAATATATAAGTTTCCTTGTTTGATAGTAGACGAGATAGAATGAATGACCAAGTTTTATTGGCCAAAGACTCTTCAATGCGCAAGTCAGTAAACTGGTGAGATTTATGCAATCGAGATGAGAGTTGTTGCATACTTCCGTCGGAGTTAGGTGGGATGGATTCTGGATTGTGATCCCTTATTTCTTGTTGTGATGTTATTGTCAATTAATTTTATCTGTTTTTGAGGGTATCCTTGTAAAAAAACTTGACAGAACGTGTAATATTTTCTTAGAAAAATCTTAAATCAAGTCTTCAATGTGTATAATACATTTCTATTATATTTATTAAACTTGAACTAAAAAGATTCACACATGTAATTTTTTGAACTTTAAAATTTCTTTTTGCTATTTCTCTAGAAAACAGGTTTCATGATAGATCCAATCATTGATTATTTTTATTTTTTTTGTTGATCAAATTGATTTTCTTTTCAAAGACACATTATGGTCGTTAAAAGAATTTAATGATATTTTAATACAGTTATTTTGTATCATAATGACACAACCACTTGCTACTACACGGCTTGGTAGAAGAGGTAGAACTCATAATTTTTTGTTTGAAGATAAGCGACAGCAAAAGACATAATAATTTGTGATTAGTTTTATAATGTGTCATATGGTGTCCCACATATACTAAATAATTTTTAGCATTTTATAGATCTCCACTCACAATTACAAAAAAAAAAAAAAATAATACAATGATTGATATACAAAAAAAAAAAAATTATTTCAAATTTTGCTAAAAGCTTAATTATATTACACTAACAATCATACGTTAATCAGCATTAGATAAATAAATAATAATAATAATAATTTCACCAAATTTTAAATAAAAATATAAATTTATCCTTACAAAAACATTTCTTAAAATTTGTTTAAAATACGAATTACCTTATGTGATTTTGAAAATTATATTCCGCCCTTTCAAATTTATAATCGCATAACAAATTTATTTTATTAATGAAGTATCAAATAAATTACCAGTTTTTAATAATGTCATAAACATATTTCAATTAACAATTCAAATAATTTTATTATTGTATAGAAGAATCGTTAGAAATTTTATTTTTTATGTTAATTGTATTAAATAAACAATTCAAATAAGGAATTATTTCTCATTTTTCAAATCGCAGAAAACAATTTGTATTTTAAATAAATGCCAGGAGGTGAATTTGTAATTTACCTATTTTAATACTTTTAAATAATAAAAAAAAGGTTTATTACACTTAATATTTCGAAACTATTGCCAAATGTCTACTTAATTCATGATCGATTGAGTTTACTAAGTGCCTAATGTATATAAATTAAAATTTATTTATTTCCTAAACTATCGATTGAATCTATTAACCTTTTAAAATATTTAATTTAAACATATTTAATCAATTCTTATGGTGAATTTCCTTTTAAGGATAACGATAATTATCTATAGTAAGTTTTTTTACTTATCTTTTATAATGGTTGTGTGTGGGTGAAAATCTGACCACACTGCCCGTTTAGTGATCAGCTGGAGAGCACAAGCGGAATAGATGGCTTAAGTAACCTGAAACAGAAAGAGAAAGCTCCGGCGGTGGTTCTTCCACCCGGGGGCACTCCGACGATCAAGTCAGTATATCTCTCAAAGATAATCAAGTACTAGACTGAATACTCAAAGTATAAATTGCATACCTTAGACCCATGGGGGTGCCTCTCTTTTATAATATACTCAATCCAAGTCCCACTAGAAGTATGACTTCTATGAACTCCAATTTAGTGTTTACTTTGGACTCTTTAAGAGATAAAGATAAACTCCCTAAGAGCTTTATCCTTATCAACAATCAAATGAGCCCCTTATCTCGGATTCCGATATCTTCGGAGATGACCTCGGCTTCTCCGAGATTACCTCGGCTTAACTACCAGGGCACGTGGCACCTCGGCTGACGCGTCGGCGTCACCATGCCACGTGTTGGTATTCAGAAAATATATCCCCACAACTGCCCCCTAGGTTCTATTACCTCGGCATTCTGAGGTGATGGAACCTATTCTGATATTCTGTTACTTCTTTTCTGAGTAATGGCTTATAAACTATTTAGCCAAGATTATCTTCTTTCAGCCGACGTGTTCTCTTCGGAGAACAAGGCTTCGGTCGTA